GTGTCTCGGAGCTGACTGGGCACGATAGGGTTTACGATGTGGAGTTTAGGGCAGGTTTTAGGGCTTAATATAGGGTTCGGAATAATTGCTAATAAAATTCCCTTCTAGGGCGCCTTTATAATCATACTATAACAACCCCCCCCCCCCCCCCCAAAACCCCATTCGAATGGTTAAGGCCCCTATAGTAGCCATAAACCCTAAACCCTGAACCCTGAACTCAAAACCCTGTTCTCATTATTGAGGCCCCTATATTAGGGCGTCTGGTGTTTGTGGAGTTGGTGCCTTTTCGACTTTGCGCTTCGTGCTCTGCCCTTAGAGGGGAGCTGCGCTCACGTCTTTAGCCCGCAAAGCTTTAAACAAAATAACGCCTGAGCAACCTAAACCCTAAACCCGAAGCCCGAAACCCGAAACCCTAAACCCCAAACCCCAAACCCCAAACCCCAAACCCTAAACCCTAAACCCTAAACCCTAGACCCTAAATCCTAAACCCTAAACCCTAAACCCTAAACCCTAAACCCCTCCTCCCTCCCTTCGGCCTCCGCGGCAAGCACCACCTCTGGGCTTGCCGCGCTCCGCTTCTGCCGAGCCACAAGTCGGAGGCTTTGCTGTGAAGCTGCTGGGTTTAGGGTTTAGGGTTTAGGGTTTAGGGTTTAGGGTTTCGGGTTTAGGGTTTAGGGTTTAGGGTTCTGGGTTCTAGGGTTTAGGGTTCAGGACCTGCGGTTATTTTACATGTTGCCTTGTTGTGTGGAAGAGGGTCAACAGTTGAAGTTTTGGAGAGGGTTTAGGGCTTAGGAACCTTTGGACATTTAGTGTGTTTCCCGCTTTGGGATCAAGAGCATTACACGTCGGGCAATTTTTGCGAAGGGTTGTCAGGGCCAACCTGCATGAGCTTGCCATAAAATGGTATTGAGACTGTTTTCTTTATTGGTGACTTTTTCATTTTCAAAAGCCAAACCCTAATTCTTTGTCATAGTGGGGGGGGGTAACTTTTTGCCACTTTTAAGGGTACTTAAACTCAACAAGGAATAGACATTCAAATTTTCAATGCTCTCCCAACCATGAACTAGAAACCCGAAACCCCAAACCCTAAACCCCAAACCCTACACCCCAAACCCTAAACCCTAAACCCTAAACCCCTAAATCGTTTTGGGTTTGGGGTTTCGGGGGGAAGGCCTCTGAAGGCCTGGGCAGCCGTGTGCTGCAAAGCACTTCTAATCCCAGCCCTAAGGGTTTAGGGTTTAGGGTTTAGGGTTCAGGGTTATTAGGGTTATTAGGGTTTAGGGTTATTAGGGTTTAGGGTTTAGGGTCTAGCGCGTAGGGTTTAGGGCTACACCTCCCAACATTAACTTTGTCATAGTGGGGCAGCATTTTGGATTTTTAAGAGTACTTAAACTCAGTGAAGAATAGAGATTTGAGTCTTTAATACTATCCCAACCATGAAGTAGGTAAGCCATTTAGGGTTGTTGGGGTTTTGGGTGTACCTCGATGCTTACTTATACACTGCCGCCGTTCGCTGGTGTGGTTTAAGGTTCGGGTACCAGAATCCGTGAGTTTGATATCACTTCTAGATCCGAAGCCCTACGCTCTCAGTCCCCCTAAACCCTAAACCCTAAACCCTAAACCCTAAACCCTAAACCCTAAACCCTAAACCCCAAACCCCAAACCCTAAGCCCCAAGCCCTCTTCGCAGGTTGGGCTTTTGGGTTCCCGGCTCACCCGGCTCCAGCGCCCGCTCGGGCGGCGCCGCTGGTGCAGGTGATGGGAGTGCCTGGCCCTGGAGAAGTTTTGGGGTTCAGGGTTTAGGGTTTAGGGTGTAGGGTTTCGGGTTGAGGGTTTAGGGTTGGTAGGGCCCAGCCTAGCTTAAACCCCAAACCGTAAACCCTAAACCCCAAACCCTAAACCCCAAACCCTAAACCCTTCACCAGACCGTACGTGAGGCGCTCAAAGGATCTCCAAGGTTGCCTGCAAAAACCCTAGAAGCCAACTAACAAAGCCACCAAACCTTAGGGTTTAGGGCTTAGGGTTTAGGGTTTAGGGTTTGGGGTTTAGGGTTTAGGGTTTGGGGTTTAGGGTTTGGGGTTTAGGGTTTAGGGTTTAGGGTTTGGGGTTTGGGGTTTAGGGTTTGGGGTTTAGGGTTTAGGGTTTAGGGTTTAGGGTTGGGGCTAAGGCACCCGAGCCCGTAGTGCGTGGTTTTGGGGAGTTCGGCTTTTAGCCAGCAGGGTTTAGGTTTTGGGCTTTAACCCTAAACCCTAAGCCATAACCCCTAGCCCCTAAGCCCTAAGCCCTAAACCCTAAACCCTAAACCCTAAACCCTAAACCCTAAACCCTGTACACTTCCCAGGCTCCTGTGGCGGCAGCAGTGAAGGCGCCCCCGCTTCAGGTCGCCTGCACCCATTTATTTGGAGGTTCATGGGTAGGTATAAGTGGGGTTAACTAGAAGTAAGGTCACTGTAGTCCTAGCTGCTTCTAGCCTGATTTAGGGTACTTGGAACCCTACTTATAGGTACCCATGAACCTTCAACTAGGGGCCAAAACCAACGGGCCAAAACCAACCTCCCTACAAAATCCTAAGGTTAACCTTCAATTCCCCCAGGTTACTGGACAACTAAGTACTTCCTAAAGCTTTAAACCCGCAATCCTGAACCCTAAGCCCGACATCCTGAGATCGCAAACCCTAAGAGATAAGCGCTTGGAATCTCGGGAAATCGGGTGGCCGGGCGTTGTGCTTTTCTGTCCTTCTTCAAGGCCAACCAGGGAACATATCATGACATGCGATAAGGGCTTTGTAACTGATAGAGGCTACCCGTGAAATCCGGATGCCTAGTCTGAGTTCGGAATGTGGGAGGACGTGTTCTACGCAGCCCTCCACTGCCCCCCCCCCCCCCCCCCCCTCCTAAACCCTAAACCCTAACCTCTAAACTCTAAACCCTAAACCCTAATTCCCAAACTCTTGAAGCCCCCTCAATCACGTGAGTTAAAGGCGCCCGTCCTCAGCTATGAGCCGGTGACGCCGGGCTTGGCATGCAGGCTCGGGTTTCGGCTTTAGGGTTTAGGGTTTAGGGCTAGGGTTTAGGGTTTAGGGTTTGGGGTTTGGGGTTTAGGGTTTAGGGTTTAGGGTTCCCTGAGCCTCCTACACCAGCTACCCTCACCTCCAAATTACCCAGCACCCAGTCTTGTTTTAAGGGGTTGTAGAGCTTACTCTTGTGTTGGGTAGACCCAGCCCGAAACGATCCTCAAGATTAAGAAGTCCCAAGTTCCGAAACCCAAGCCCTGTACCCTGACTATAGACCACCTAAAGTTAAAGCCCGAAATTTCCTGAATCTAAGCCCTAAATCCTCAAGGGCTAAACCCTAAACCCCCGAAACCCGAAACCCTAAACCCCAAACCCGAAACCCTAAACCCTAAACCCCTTAAACCCTAAACCCTAAACAGAATCGCAAGGCCCCCCATGCCAATGCGCAACACGCTGCCCTCGCCTGTCCTGGCCCCACGCGCGTCCTCGCCGCAGGCCAGGATCAGAGATCCTAGTGGCCTAGCGTGGAGGGTTTAGGGTTTTAGGGTTTTGGGTTTAGGGTTTTTAGGGTTTATGGGGTGTATAGGGTTTATAACCCTAAACCCCAAACCCTAAACCCCAAACCCCAAACCCTAACCCTAAACCCTAAACCCTAAACCCTAAACCCTAAACCCATGAACCTTCTAAACAACCTGGAAGGTCGGCTGCTGTGTGCTCCGTGCCCCAGCCAGCCCACTCATGGTGCCGGGAGCTCCCAACATGGTCGGGCCCCCCCAGGCCGTTTAGGGTTTAGGGTTTAGGGTTTAGGGTTTAGGGTTTAGGGTTTAGGGTTTAGGGTTTAGGGTGTGGGGTTTAGGGTTTAGAGCTTAGGGTTTTATGCTCGGAGTGTGGGTTTAGGGGGAGTTGTGGGGCGGGGTTGGGTTCTTTGCAAAGTTTTTTAAGAGCACAGGGTTGTGAAGGGAAGGAACCCTGCCCTAAGCTCTAATTCCCACACCTTAAACCCTAAACCCTGAACCGCAAACCTTAATAAGGGAAGACGACGCTAGTTCCGACGGGCACTTGCCATCAGCTCTTCGGGTCCTCAGCCCGCATCAGTGCTCCAAGCAGATTCTTAAGTACAGTGAATACATTCAATAAGAAATGGGCGTTCATTGGATGAGACCTTTTTGTTAACCTTTCGGGAACAACACGTATGAGATAGGCGCAGGGTCTGGAAATAATTTTAACACTTGACCTCAACCCAGCCCAAACGCGCAGCTCGGCTGGAGGGAGCTGGAGGGCTGTGCTTGAGTGCTGGAGGGAGAGCTAAGGGTTTAGGTTTAGGGCTTAGGGTTTGGGGTTTACGGTTTACGATTTACGGTTTACGGTTTACGGTTTAGGAAGGGGCTGCCTTGGCTGGAGGGCTGGAGGTGCAGGACACGGGGCCGGGGAGGGTGGGTTTCTTAGACCCCGTATTAGTGGAACCTTGGTCAGGTCTAATTTTGTGTTTGGAATGATTTCTCATTATAGGCGATCGCCGTACTAGGTTTAGGGTTTAGGGTTTATTAGGGTGCTGCTAAGCATCTTACACCATCGCCTGGAATCTTTAAAATCCTGAGCCCTTGGTGTTGAGGTGCACCAGGTGTCCCGGCTGAAGCTCCACCACTGAGACATGGGCTCCGGCCCACTACTTGTGCAGCAGCCAGCGTGGTCTCAAAAGCAAGGGTTTAGGGTTTAGGGTTTAGGGTTTAGGGTTTAGGGTTTAGGGTTTAGGGTTTAGGGTTTAGTCGCCTCCGCTCGCCTTCAAGGGTTCTGAGAAGGGCAGAGGCAGAGGTGCTTCTGGTCCATACGGGCAGGGTTTAGGGGTCAGGGTTGAGGGTCTAGGGTTTAGGCTTTAGGGTTTAGGGTTTAGGGTTCAGGGTTTAGGGTTCCGTTTTGCAGGAGTCCCCCTTATGGGGTGTAGGGGACCATGGGGTAACCAGCCTCGATTCCCCCCTGGAAGCCTGCAGGACGTGCCGGTTGGGCAGGCTGGGCCGACCTGCACTCAGTTCGCGCGCCCTAAGCCCGAAACCCGAAAGCCCGAACACCCTAAACCCTAAACCCTAAGCTCTAACCCCTAAACCCTAAAACCCTATGACCCTAAAACCTAAAACCCTAAGCCCTTAACCCCTAAAACCCTATAGCCTAAACTCGAAAACCCTAAGCCCTAAGCCCTAAAACCCTAAACCCTAACACCCTAGAAGCCTAAGCCCTGAAACCCTAAGCCCTAACCCTAAAGCCTAAACACTAAACGATGCCCCACTCTTTGGCAGGCCCTCATATCGGGCTGGCTGTATCCTGAGCAGTTGAAAATCGGCCGCCGCCTTGGTGGTCTCGGAGGGGGTGGGGGATTAGGGTTTGGGGTTTAGGGTTTAGGGTTTAAAGTTTCGGGTTTAGGGTTTAGGGTTAGGGTTTGGGGTTTAGGGTTTAGGGTCTTACCAGTTGGAAAACCCTACACCCTAAACCCTAACCTACACCGTCAACCTCATTCTATAACAGACAACCATTGCATCCTGATGGCAGAATACCCTTGGACGAGAATTCGGGTGAAGGGTAGGGTTTATAAGGTGCGGAGGCCCTAAACCCAAGGCCCTGAAGCCTTCTAAGCAGTAAAGCCCCTAAACCCCAGACCCCTACGCCCTAAAACCCTGAACCCGAAAACCCTGAAATCCGCATTCTGTCAAAGTGCTGAGCCTACAGTCTTCGCCTCGGTAGGCCATTGGGGCATTTTATGTTTTCCATGATCGGTTCGAGAGGATCATATTCAGCCTAAACCCTAAACCCTAAGCCCGGGAATCTTTTCAGAGGGTTTTTAGGGCCATGCTAGTCCCCAAGCCCGAGGCTACTCGTTTGGAAGATACTACGTGCACCTTAGCCGCGCACCCGGCTGCTGCATGGTTTGGGTGGGTATAGGGTTTAGGGTTTAGGGTTTAGGGTGTAGGGTGTAGGATTTAGGATTTAGGATTTAGGGTTTAGGGTTTAGGGTTTAGGGTTTAGGGTTTAGGGTTTGGGGGGGGGGGGGGGGGGGGGGGCGTCGGGGCTGTGACACCACTAGTGTTTAGGTGTGGCCAAGGAGCTCACGAATTTGAGGCGTATGGTCTACAAGGGCGCCTTGTTGTTCTCTTGGGGCTTGGAGAAGCCTGTGAACCCAAAACCCTTAAAGCCTCAAAACCCTAAGACCCGAAAAACCCCAAAACCCTCAAACCCTGAATCCCGAAATCCCTAAAACCCTGAAGCCCTACAACCCTAAAGCCCTAAAACCCTAAAGCCCTAAAATCCTCAAGCCCTAAAACCCTCAAACCCTTAACCCCTCAAGCCCTAAACCCTAAACCCTAAACCCTAAACCCTAAACCCTAAACCCTAAACCCTAAACCCTAAACCCTAAACCCTAAACCCTCAACAGAAGTCCCAGCACTCGAGGCGAGCAGTCATCAGAGTCAGAGCAGAGAGGCGCCTCGGCACTGATCGGTGTAGGGTTTAGGGTTTAGGGGTTTAGGGTTTAGGGTTTAGGGTTTAGGGTTTGGGGTTTAGGGTTTAGGGTTTAGGGTCTAGGGTTTAGGGTTTAGGGTTTAGGGCCATAGAAACTCAGTTGCTGTAGGGCTCTACGATCCACCTCAGGCCAAGGTTGCGGGCTGCGCGGCAACCCCTAGAGCCCTGAACTCCTGAGCCCCAAAGCCCTAAACCCTAAACCCTAAGATTCCTAAACTCAAGGCCCCAAAAAGCCTAATCTTGCACTGTCTTTAGTATGGCCCCCCCCCCCCTCCCAAACAAATTTGGGACCCTCTATAAGCGCATGGCCCGGCGAGCCCCCAAACAAATTGGGGGGGGGGCCGCCCTCGGGGCCTCAAGCCTTCAGGACCTCAAGGCCTGACGCTTTCCAGCCTTCAAGATTCCTGGAGCCCCCGAAGGCCCTCAGGGCCTCAAGCCTTACTGCGTAAGCCTGTAACCCTAAACACAAACCCTTAAAAACACATCATCCAAAGAAACTTGGTATTATAGAGGGTAGCCAGACAAACTTACTAAAGACAGCCTGACCGGCCCGTGGGCAACCTATCACAAAATTTGTTTGGGGCCTCGTTTCGTAAACGTCCGGAAAAAAACTTGTGATAATAGATGGTACCCCAAACAAACTCGGTTCGCTGAATAAATTTCCGAAACTTGTGATTATGGACCCCTCTTATACTAAAGTCAGTCCAACATTATAAGCCTTAAGCCCTAAACCTGAAGCCTCATAAATCTTAAGCCCTAGCCCTCAACCCTAAGCATTGTAAATCTTAAGCCCTAAGAAGCAACAAGAAGTCGGGTTGACCGCACCGAAACCCTAAACCCTAAACCCTAAACCCTAAACCCTAAACCTTAAACCCTAAACCCTAAACCCTAAACCCTAAGCCCTCTTAACCGAGTCTTGACCGAGGCTGGGTCCGGCTGAGACCAGATCAGCAGCATTGGCTGATGCCGCAGGCCATTCCTGGCTTTAGGGTTTGGGGTTTAGGGTTCAGGGTTTAGGGTTTAGGGTTTAGGGTTTAGGGTTTGGGTTCGGGAGTAGGGGAACTCAGCGGAGTATACCTTAAACTACATAATGAGGGTCATCCCTCTTAGTGTATGGTTCAGGGTTTGGGGTTTATGGTTTAGGGTGTTTAGGGCATATTCTTAGTCTGGGTTTTGGAGTACTCTACTTTAATACTTGGTTGTTTTAGGTTGGTCACGCGCACCCTGGCACAGCAATTTGCCCCCACCTTTGAACCGGCCACGCACCCGCACCAGTACGCCCTCTGCACCCGTGCCGGCTCAGAAGCATTCGTGCCTTCGCCGCAAGTCGCTGGCGACGGCGACCCCTCGCTCACCGTGCTGTCGGTCGATGGGGTTGGCGCCTTCGACCTCATAAGCAGGCAGGCCATGCTCACGGCACAAACGATGCCATCCTGCCGTTTGTACGGCTTTTCTACAGCTCGCCGTCCGAGTTTGCATGGACTGATGCTGCAGGCAACCCCACAGCGTGCTGGAGGCGGAGGGTGGCGAGTAAGTGACTCGCTCATGCCGGCCCTGTACGCCCTCGGCGTCGCGCCCGCCTTGCGCGCCACGCAGACCTCCTCTACACAGCTACTTATACCTAAAAAGTATATCATATTTTTTCCAGGGTCTACTCCAAAGTAGGGTTAAACTACATGCATAGGGGTCCTGATTATGGTTTCAAGGTCTATTCCTGATTCCTCAGTTTAAGGGGTATTGGGCTCTCTGGGACCCTACATAAACCCAAAGCCTGAACTCTAGACCCAAATACACCTGATACTTTGGCTCCTGGGACCCTTAAGGACTCAAGAACTCGGACCCTAAACCCTAAACCCTAAACCCTAAACCCTAAACCCTAAACCCTAAACCCTAAACCCTAAACCCTAAACCCTAAACCCTAAACCCTAAACCCTAAACCCTAAACCCTAAACCCTAAACCCTAAACCCTAAACCCTAAACCCGAAACCCTAAACCCTAAACCCTAAACGCCTGCGCCCTCAACGTCACGGGCAGCACACAGGGCGACAGCCAAGGGCTTGGAAGAAGGACATTTGACAAGGGTGTAGGTTTTAGGGTTTAGGGTTTAGGGTTTAGGGTTTAGGGTTTAGGGTTTAGGGTTTAGGGTGTAGAGAGCCCAATGCTCCCCTTGATTAGGGAACAAGCTTTCATCTGGTGCGCGTCATGTTGCGCCGGCAGGATTTCTTCTCGATTGGTACCCTCGTGTTTCAGGCCATCCGTCTGCAGCGAGAGAGACTTGAGTGATGACAGGCCATGAATTTGGAAGGGTGTGCATTGTCCTAGTAATGTATAGAAAAGAAAGAAATACAAGCTACATCCACGTGTACTTGTAACAGCAAACGACTTGAGTTTCTGGGAAGGGAGGGAGAGGCCGAGAGGGCGAGAGGGCGAGAGGGCGAGAGGGCGAGAGGGCGAGAGGGCGAGAGGGCGAGAGGGCGAGAGGGCGAGAGAGCGAGAGAGCGAGAGAGCGAGAGAGCGAGAGAGCGAGAGAGCGAGAGAGCGAGAGAGCGAGAGAGCGAGGGAGGGAGAGAGGGAGGGAGGGAGAGAGGGAGAGAGGGAGAGAGGGAGAGAGGGAGAGAGGGAGAGAGGGAGAGAGGGAGAGAGGGAGAGAGGGAGAGAGGGGGAGAGGGAGAGAGGGAGAGAGGGAGATGGAGAGGGAGATGGAGAGAGAGATGGAGGGGGAGGGAGAGCGAGGAGAGAGAAGGGGGAGAGGGACGAGGACGGGGATTGGAGAGAGGGAGAGGAGAGGGGAAGAGAGGGGAGAGGGATTGAGAGGGGGAGAGAGGAGAGAGAGAGAGTGAGAGAGAGGGAAGAGAGGGAGAGGAGGGGAGAGGGAGAGAGGGAGAGAGTGAGAGAGAGAGGGGAGATGAGAGGAGAGGAGAGGAGAGAGGGAGAGAGGGGAGAGAGGGGGAGAGGGAGAGAGAGAGGAGGGCGCGGAGAGGGAGAGAGGGAGAGAGGGAGAGAGGGAGAGAGGGAGAGAGGGAGAGAGGGAGAGAGGGAGAGAGGGAGAGAGGGAGAGAGGGAGAGACGGAGAGAGCGAGACGAGAGAGAGAGGGAGAGGGAGAGAGGGAGAGAGAGGGAGAGAGAGGGGAGAGAGGGAGAGAGGGAGAGAGGGAGAGAGGGAGCGAGAGAGCGAGACGGCTAGAGAGAGAGGGAGAGGGAGAGAGAGAGAGAGAGAGGGAGAGGGAGAGGGAGAGAGATTGAGAGGTGCACACAGCCTTGGCGTCCGAAAGGTCCTACGCTTCAATGCAGCCTCGTACTCCGAGCAAGGCTTCCGAGCAACTATGGAGGCCCCTCGCTGAGACAGCAGGGCTTAAGCTTCAGAAGGGTGTTTTCGGCTCGCGCCCGCAGGTTCTTTGGGATGATGGGGTTGATGGGCTGTCCATGGTTAGGGTTTAGGGTTGAGGGTTTAGGGTTGACGGTTTAGGGTTGAGGGTTTAGGGTTTAGGGCTCCATACCCCCCAAAATCTCCTTGAAACTTAGGACGAGGACATCCTGGTCCAAGACTTGGCCACGTCAAACTGGCGGCGCCATCCTCAAAGAAGATTCGCGTCCAGGGTCCCTGGCACTGGGGTCGAGCTAGGGTTTAGGGTTTAGGGTTTAGGGTTTAGGGTTCAGGGTTCAGGGTTCAGGGTTCAGGGTTCAGGGTTCAGGGTTTACGTGTGTAGGTGCGTAGGAAGGAGTTCAGGGATTACAGGGTCGAGGAACTTGACCGCCGCCCTATTTATGCTTGAGATACCTTAGGCCCGGTACCTTCTGTTGGTTCGTAGAGCATGACTGAGGGGTTAATATCAATGCTACAAATACTACGTATACCTTCGTTCCCTAAACCCGAAACTCTCAAGCCCTAAATTTTAAACCCTAATGCAGTAACCGACAGAAAGTGTAAACCTCAAGGTGTTGGGGAGTCCAGGGACTTTGTGGTTTTCCCAGCTATCAGGTCTGGGCCCCGGATTCAAGGCTTCTTTGCGGCACCGCCGCTCCTGGCGGGCGGCTTCCTTTCCCTCAGCCCCAAACCCGAAACCATGAAATCTAAACCCTGAAGCTAAACCCTAAACCCTAAACCCTAAACCTTATAAACCCTAAACCCTAAACCGTATAAGATGTAGGATTTAGGGGTCGGGAGGCCTTGCAGAGCCCGACTCTGAGGCAATGCTCCTACTTTGGCATCTATGATGGACATGGTGGTCGCGACTGCGTGAACTTTGTGCTGTGGGCTCAGTATATTTTCGTGCCAGCAGTCGCCCGCACTGGTGCCTAAACCCTCAACACTAAAACCCCGAAACCCCGAAACCCTAAAACCCTAAAACCCTAAAACCCTAAAACCCCAAAACCCCGAAACCCTAACACCCTAAAACCCTAAAACCCTAAAACCCTAAAACCCTAAAACCCTAAAACCCTAAAACCCTAAAACCCTAAAACCCTAAAACCCTGACCCCGAAAACCCTAACCCCTATAACCCTAACCCCTGTAACCCTAAACCCTATAACTCTAGACATTATAGCCTCTAAAACCCTATACAGCAACCCGAGATCTAGAAGTTTTTGTAATCTCCGGAAGCCCTTGCAACCCGCAGTTTGCATGTTTTGTTCTTTTGTTCTTTTGTTCTTTTGTTCTTTTGTTTAGGGTTTAGGGTTTCGGGTTTAAGGATATTAAGAAAGGGTGCTTGGAATCTATGGGTTTTGGAGCCCTAAACCCTAAACTCTGAAACCCGAACCATAAACCCTAAACCCCGAACCGAGGACCCAGAGTAGGCCCTTATTCCCATTTTTTGAGGGTATAGGTGCCCTTCTAAGCCCCTTCTAAACCACACAGGGCACCCTTTTGATTCCTAGGTTGCTCTTGGGTCTGGGAACCCTTTTGAAATCGATTGGGGTTCAGCGTCGATTGGGGTTCAGTGTTTCGGGTCTTTAAAAGGTTCCCTAAACCCCGAACCCGAAACCCCAAACCCCAAACCCCAAACCCCAAACCCCAAACCCCAAACCCTAAACCCTAAACCCTAAACCCTAAACCCTAAACCCTAAACCCTAAACCCTAAATCCTAAATCCTAAATCCTAAACCCTAAACCCCTAAACCCCGAACCCTTTTTCTGAAATCCGCAGGCGCAGAAGACTGCACATCAACATCATTGCTGCGCTCCACTCCAGAGGGGGTCTTGACAAGTCGCTGCAGGCCCTTACGGTTTCAGGGTTTGGAGTGCCTGCATTTAGGGTTTAGGGTTTAGGGTTTAGGGTTTAGGGTTTAGGGTTTAGGGTTTAGGGTTTAGGGTTTAGGGTTTAGGGTTTAGGTGCAGGGTTCAGGGTTGAGGGTTGAGGGTTGGGGGGTGAGGGCTTCTTGAAGGTTCATGGATGCCCTAGGTGACTATGCTTGGTTCACAGACACCCCCAAAACATGGGGCCAAACCTGGTTCGGAGTTCTGGCCCTTTGGCTACCTTACTTACATCGCCGGGCCGGGCTGGCTTCCCTTGCATCCCTGTGATTTTTCCCCGCCGCCCTCAAAGCCTGAGCTGCCTCTGCCATCAGTTTTTGAAAGGGATCTAGGGTGTTGGGTTTAAGTTTTTCGGGATGAGGGGTTTGGGATTTGGGGGCTGGGGGGGGGGGGGGGGGGGCGGCAGGTGGCCCAAACCCTAAACCCCAAACCCTACACCCTAAGCCTTGTTGGTGTGTGATGGCCTTACGGGATGCCGTCGAAGAGCCGTGGGTCGGGTTTATGGTTTAGGGTAGGGGGGACTTGGGGAGATGTTTCCGGGTTTAGGTTATCGGGTTTTAGGGTTTAAGGGTTTAAGGGTTTGAGGGTGTAGGCTTGAGGGTGTAGTAGACTCAGGAGGTGCGCTGCCTTCAGTGGGCATACCTTCCCCCTGAAAGTAACGTGAGTCCCTGCAAGCCAACCCTAAGCCCTAAAACCTAAACCCTAAACCCTAAACCTAAAACCCTAAACCCTAAACTCTGAATCCCATTTTGCCGAGAAGCCCCACAAGCCCGGGAACCCCCATGAACCCTATGAAGCCCAGCAACACTAAATCTTAATCCCTGAAGCCCTAAACCCTGAACCTTATACCCCTTATGAATAAAAGCACGACATACATACATACATACATACATACATACATACATACATACATACATATATATATATATGTGTGCAAAAATATGTGTATATGTATATATATATATATATATATACACACATTAAAATACATAAAAATATGTATGTGTACATTTATGCCATGAAGAGTTGAGTCTTGAACCCATACAAGCTCTGTAGACCCTATAAGCTCCATAAACCCCACGAGCCCTACAAGCCCTTTGTCAACTCTACAAGCGCTATGAACCTCATGAGCCGCCACGAAGGTAGTCACCCAAGTCTTTTATACGCCCTGCCCACAAGCCCTACAAGGTCCATAACCCCCTTACCGAAAAACCCTAAAACCTAAACCCTAAACCCTCGACCCTCGGCCCTAGACCCTAACCCCCACCCCCCCCCCCCCCCCCCCAAAAAAAAAAAAAACTTAAACCCCAAAACCTAAGCCCTGAACCCTAAACCCTAACCATCGACCCTAGACCCTAGACCTAGACCAAAAAAAACAGGTACGACCCTAGACCCTAGACCCCCCCCCCCACCCCCCACCCCCCCCCCCCCCCCCCCCCCCCCCCCCCCGCCCCCCCCCACCCCCCCCACCCCCCCCCCCCCGCCCCCCCCCCCCCCCCCCCCCCCCAAAAAAAAAAAAAAAGAGAAAAAACAGGTACATCAGGACCTGCACGACAGCCTTCTCCAAGGCTTCCTCAAGACAGACCAGCAGTTCCTGGGGCTGTCACAGGCCTCCTGGGTTTAAGGTTTAGGGTTTATAGGGTTTATAGGGTTTATAGGGTTTATAGGGTTTAGGGTTTAGGGTTTAGGGTTTGGTGTTTGGGGTTTGGGGTTTTAGGGTATAGGGTTTGGGGTTTTGGAGCTTAGGGTATGTTTGGTTTGGGTTTAGGGTTTCGGGTTGTGGTTTAGGGTTTGCGGTTTAACGGCTTGCGTTTAGGCTTTGGGGTTCAGGGGTTTAGGGCTCTAGGGCTGTAGGGTGCTGGGCTTGGGGAAGCCTGGGGAAGCCCAAACCCTAAACCCTAAACCCTAAATCCTGAACCCTAAATTGTTTTTTGAGGTTCGAGTCTTCGTTTGCAAGATGCCTCCGGGTCTGTTTCGTGGTTATGGTGCCCTAAGTTGAGAGTTTCCCCTTACACTACCAGCCCTTAATAGGGAACATAGTACCCCCTAGTATACTCCCTATTCAGGACTCTTAGTATAAGGGGGAACATCCGCAGCCCTCAGCCTTAAGCTCTAGACTCGAGAAGCCCTCAGCTCTTGTTTGGGCAGTCTTGTGGCTGATGAAGCTTGGGGACTTCCATCCTCAACTCTGAAGCCCGAAACCCTGAAGCTCCAAACCCTGAAACCCCAAACCCTAAACCCCAAACCCTAAACCCCATACCCTAATCCCTAAACCCCATACCCCCAAACCCCATAATTACCCTAAACCCTAAACCCCAAACCCTAAACCCCAAACCGCAAGTCCGGCCAGGGCATGGAGAACGGCGGCTCGGGGAGCACCGCCGTGGTAGCCTGTATCGCCTTCGCCTCAGGTGTGATGGGTTCTAATTCCCATTTCCGCTACTACGACTACTACGATTACGACTGTGACTACGACTGCGACTACTACTACTACTACTACTACTACTACTACTACTACTACTACTACCACTAATACTACTACTACTGCTACTGCTACTGCTACTGCTACTGCTACTGCTACTGCTACTGCTACTGCTACTGCTACGGCTACGGCTACGGCTACGGCTACGGCCACGGCTACGGCTACGGCTACTGCGACGACGACGACGACGACGACGACGACGACGACGACGACGACGACGACGACGACGACGACGACGACGACGACGACTCTACTTCTACTACGATGAGGAGGACGACAGCTTTGTTTTGACATCATGTAAGTAGAAGCAAAATTACACATAAGTCAATATTCTATAAACTTCTCTACGTATGTACATCAGGAATTTTTCTCGGCTTCTAACTACGCATGTTGTGCTGAAGGCAGAGTGCACGAACATGCTCAGCACATGGCCAAGGTCGGTGGCTGGGTTTGGTGTGCCAACGTGGGAGACAGCCGGGCGCTGCTGTGCCGAAACGGTGGCTGCGTCGCAGAGACAGTTACTACTATTTGCTTAAGAGAACCCCGCACAAAATCGAAGATGTTCTTCCTTATAAGGGTAATATAGGGATGATTATCATTTGTTTCTTTGGGGTTCTTAAGGAAATAGTAGATTAGGATTTGTATTTTCTGCGCTTATGGGTTTTAGGACTCAACTCTATAAGGTTTCGAGTGCTAATGGGGCTTAGAGGCCGCTTAGGGTATGGTGCTCAAGCTTTGCTGTGTTTGTCCACAACATGCAGCAGGCAAGAGACAGTTTGATGCCGTTACCATTTGTTTGAAGAGCGTTTCTTGCTGCTGCTGCTGCTGCTGCTGCTGCTGCTGCTGCCGCCGCCGCTGCTGCTGCTGCCGCAGCAATTCTGAGACAAAATGACCCTACTCCCAGACCTGAAGGCAAGTAGCCTGAAGCCCTCAGCCCCTAATCCGTTAAGCCCTCCACCCTCAGCACCGACCCACATAAACTGCTCAGCAAACACCCCTACCAAGCCATGAACTCTGTAACTTCTGAGCCCTCCCAAACCCTGTAAGGGCCAGCAACCCTGTAAACCCTACAACCCCTTGTAAACTCATAAACCCCCTAAACCTTCTGAGCCCTACAAACCCTACAAATCCTATAAAAACCGATAGACCCTATAAACCCCATAAACCTCACGCACCTTGTTAACCCCTTAAGCCCTCTACACCCACCCTACAAACCCTCCAAACCCTCTAAACCCTCAAACCATCTAAACCCCAGAAACCCCAAAAAACCTTATAAGGTCTATTAATTGACCCTATAAAGCCATAAAACAAACCTTCGACAATCCAAAGAAACCATCCTGGACACCCAAGAAGCAAAGGCCACGGACCCTGGTCTCGCCCTAAGCCCTAAAACCTCAAACCTTAAACCCACTGTATGTATATATATATATATATAAACACATGAACAAATCTGCATAACATATATGAATATAGACATGCTTACAATTGTAAATGTAAATATAGGTATAAATAAAAGTATCTCTCTCTCTATATATATATATATCAGTTTCTATATATATATATATATATAAATGAAAGTGTGCAAATATATGTGTGTACATATATATATATATATATATATGAACGAACTAAACCCTAAACCTGCGCCAGGTCGCGCCTTGCAGCTCTCCCTGGACCACAAGCCAAGCCGCGCGGACGAATCCAAACGGATCGAAGAGGACGGGTTCAGGGTTCAGGGTTCAGGGTCTAGGGTCTAGGGTTTAGGGTTTAGGGTTTAGGGTTTAGGGTTTCGCGTTTGGGCTGAAACCCTAAACCAAGGAAGTAACCTCGGGCAGAGTATTGAAGTAGCGCATCAGAGCCTGGAGGGCTTTATAAGGGTTGTGGGTTGAGGGTATATCCCCAGCTGCCCTCAACCCGATTATAAACCTATATGCCCTAAACCCTAAACCCTAAACCCTAAACCCTAAACCCTAAACCCTAAACCCTAAACCCTAAACCCTAAACCCTAAACCCTAAACCCTAAACCCTAAACCCTAAACCCTATAGACTCGACAAGAAGCCCTTTATGTCCCAAGCATAAACCCCATACGCCCTAGAAATGCCCCTATGTGCCCCTATGAGCCGAAAAACCCCAGACCGCTACAAGCCCGTAAGCCCTTTAAGTGGCACAGTCCCAACAAACCCTAAAAGCCGCGAGCCCCCAGCAACCCTAAACCCTAAACCCTAAACCCTAAACCCTAAACCCTAAACCCTAAACCCTAAACCCTAAACCCTAAACCCTAAACCCTAAACCCTAAACCCTAAACCCTAAACCCTAAACCTGTCATCCCTTTCGGCCCTCTAGACCCCATTACTCTGTCATATTGGGGTAAGATTTGCCATTTTTTAAGGGCGCCTAAACTCAATCAGGAGGTAGAAAGTCAATTATTTTGATGCTGTCCCAAGCATGAAGTAGATTACCTCCCAAAGCCCGAGAAACACCGATGAGCAATCAGATTATGCGTCCAAAAAATAAGCCCTGGCCTCGAGCCTGAACCCTTAATGCCTGTAAACTTTAACACATAGGGTTTAGGGTTTAGGGTTTAGGGTTTAGGGTTAGGGTTTAGGTAAGCCCTATAAACCCTGCACCCGATGAACCAGGTGAAACCTCAATCCTCTAGACCTGCAAGGCCTCAAGTCCATCGCCCTAAACAACACCCCCAAGCCTAAAAAGCCAAGCCTTCAGAATCCAAAACCTCCTTCGTTCAAAGTTGCCGAAGAATCCCATAAGGCTTTTATAATCATATCCTACAAAAAAGGCAAAGACCGAGTTCCCAGACTCCGTTTTTTTTTTTTTTTTTGGGGGGGGGGGGGGGGTTTAGGGTTTAGGGTTTAGGGTTTAGGGTTTAGGGTTTAGGGTTTAGGGTTTAGGGTTTAGGGTTTAGGGTGTAGGGTTCAGGGTCACGCTGAAGCGTGCCAGCGAAGTAGCATGCTTCTAGGACCGGTGAGAGGCATCCCTAGGGTTTAGGGTTTAGGGTTTAGGGTTTAGGGTTTAGGGTTTAGGGTTTAGGGTTTAGGGTTTAGGGTTTAGGGTTTAGGGTTTAGGGTTTAGGGTAGGGTTTAGGGTTTAGGGTTTAGAGTTTAGGGTTTAGGGTTTAGGGTTTAGGGTTTAGGGTTTAGGGTTTAGGGTTAGATTCGTGTTCTTGTTTGGGGCTTATGGCATCTGGGTGGTCCCCGTCGGGTGTAGGGTTTAGTGTTTAGGCGAGCACAAAGCGGGCTCCCCCCTCCCCTCAGAGTACGGGGTTTAGGTTCAAGTGCTTTCAGATCCATTCTTGGGTGTTAGGGTTCATGTGCTCATGTGGGTTCTTGACACGCCATGAAGCCGGGGGACATCTTCGGGTGCTTTGCTTACAGGTCCTGCGTGGAATTCGAAAATCAACAGACTCTCGCTCGCTTTATCTTGCCCTTGATGGGTTGAAGAGGATCATGTTTAAGAATGGTGTTTCAGAGGGCTTCAAGGGCCAAGCCTAGTTTCTGACGCAGCCATGTACTTCTGTTTTTACCGCAGGCGGGTGGCTTCGTCTCCTTCCACCGCGTGTCCTTGCCTTGTGCATGTGGGCAGTACTCTAATATAGGGGTCGGAATAATTAATAATAGTATTCCCTTATGACCCTGTTAACAATGTACTATGATAGCCCCCCAAAACCCTATTCTAGTCATTAAGGCCCCCTATAGTAGGTTTCGTTCTTGTTGCCCTTAAGCCTCTGAAACCCTAAACCCTATAAACCCTAAACCCTAAACCCTAAACTTGAAGTATGCAGTCCAAATATCACAGTTGATACCCAGGGATCCTGCTTGGAGGTTCATGGGTAGTTCTGTGCTGGGTCAGAAGTAAGGTAACTATAACTGTAAAAAACTGGCTATAAGCGCATTTAGGGCCCTTCTCATCATACTTTTAATTAGCCCTAAACCCTAAACCCTAAACCCTAAACCCTAAACCCTAAACCCTAAACCTTAAACCCTAAACCCTAAACCCTAAACCCTGAACCTTCAAGTGCTTTTTGGGCCCTCTCCACCCCCTCCCCGCCCCTCTCTTCGGCCGAACAGTAATCCTTCGGCCTTAGGCCCCAAAGAAACCCCAAACCCTCAACCCCAAAACTTCCTAGGGTTTGGGGTTTAGGGTTTAGGCTTTAGGCTTTAGGGATTTGGGGTTTGGGGTTTAGGGTTTGGGGTTTCTGTAGGGCCACCCCTCCGCACTCTAGGCTCGGCCGGTTGGCCGTTTCGCGCGCCTTTGGAGACGAAGAGTACAAGGCAGGGGTTAAGGGTTAAGGGCTTAGGGTTTAGAGAAAATAGGGTTTTGGGTTTTGGGGTTGGTTGATAGCAGATAGGGTTTGGGCCCCAATAGCGCGTCGATCGAAAGGTTTGACCGAGTTTCGACCGAAAGTGTAGCTTTTGTTGGGATGGGCTGGGGGTTGGGCGGGGGGCCCTAAACACTGAAACCCAAACCCACCCCAAACCCGAAACCCTCAAGACCCCAAACTGGAGCCTTTTTTGGCGCCCGGTCCTTCTTAAGGGCCTTGGGGCCTCCTGGTAACTTTCCCGGGGGTTGCGGGTCTTGGGGTTGAGGGTTTAGGCTTCAGTTTTTCAGTTTTTTTTTTTTTTTTTTTTGGGGGGGGGGGGGGGTGGTTTGGGGTTTGGGGTTTAGGGCTGTGCTTCCCAGGACATGTTGCGCCAATGATACGTAGACTCGGGAGCCTTGAGCAGCTCGTTCGGAAGGCGATTGCCCCCCAAAACATGCCTGTAGTCCTGAGATAAATGCAACCCTCCCTTTGAAAGATTCAAGCCTACTCTTGGTAGACCCTAAACCCTAAATCCCGAACTCTAGCTGCCGATTATTTCGTTGAGGTACCATCGCAAACTCGGGTTCGGGTTTGGGCTACAGAGGCCAGGATTCAGAAAGTTTAGGGCACAAGACCTGACGGCGGAGAGGTTGGGGTCACCAAGTCTGACAGCGTTACGCAGCCAGGAGCTCAGAACGGGGATTAAAAGGGGGGTTAGTTTTTCAGGGGCTCAGGGTTTTTTGTTGCTACCTAAAGCTTGGAGAACTCCACTGTGGACCCAAAACGGGCCCCCTCCCCAAGTTCCCTCACCTTGATCATGTCGCGGGCATTTGGCCAGGTCTCGTAGGCATTGCTCAGTTGGAGTGTCTTTGGGGTAGCAAAGTCTGAAAGAGGACGTGCACTTTGGTTATTGGTCCGTTTGAAGCGGGAGGTGTGCTGGCTGGAGGAATGCTAAGTAAAGTAGAAAGGTTCCCGAAGGGTTTAGGGATTAAGGTTTAGGGTTTAGGGTTTAGGATTATTGCTGGACCTGTCCGTGGCTTGACAGGCTGCTTGACCTAGCGGACGCTTTGACTTGCGATGCTGATCCCCAAACCCTAAACCCCAAACCCCAAACCCCAAACACTAAACCCTAAACCCTAAACCCTAAACCCCATGAAACAGACAGATTCTGGCTTGACAAGGCCTCTGGTCATCGCCGAGCCAGAGATACGGGTCGAGCAGCTGTGTCCTGAGGACTGTATCCACCCTAGGGTGTGTGTGTGTGCTGAGGTTCCGAGACCCCTAAACCCTAAACCCGAAACCCTAAACCCTAAACCCTACACCCTACACCCAACACCCTAAACCCTAAACCCTAAACCCTACACCCTACACCCTAGACCCTAAACCCTAAACCCTGAACCCTGAACCCTGAACGGTGTCCTCGGTTTTTCAGTCGGCCGCTCGAGAAGCAAGTTCGGGAGCCGTGCCTAGACATGTCATGGGGGGTTTAGGGTTTAGGGTTTAGGGTTTAGGGTTTAGGGTTTAGGGTTTAGGGTTCATAGAAAACCTGATGTTCTTTTGTGTAAGGGCTTATATTCAAGGGCCTCATTTGGGGAATCCCTTCAAGCCTATAACTCGAGGGCTTTTGTGTCTACGGGATGTTGGATGAGTCAAACCCAAAACCCGAAGCCCCAACTCCTACTCCCAGAGCGTTCTGATCTCGAAGCTACACCTTAAGCCCTAAACCCTAAACCCTAAACCCTAAACCCTAAACCCTAAACCCTAAACCCTAAACCCTAAACCCTAAACCCTAAACCCTAAACCCTAAACCCTTCCTCTGATCGCCCAGCCTCCCAGAAGGATGAGTTCCTCTTCATGGCGTGCGACGGGCTCTTCGCCGTATTCTCCTGTCCCGGTTCTCAGTGCAATCAATCTCTTTATAGGGTTCTTAAGGGAGGGGGGTTCAAGCGGGGTAGGTACCTGGGGAACCTCAGCGAAGGTTAGGGAGCCTTAAGGAGTAGTAGGGAGTTTTTAGAAACCTTGGGTTATGGGGTTTTGGAGTACTATGCTTTAATACTTTTTGTTTGGTCTGGGTTCCTATTATGGCTACTTGTACCTAAAAAGTATATACTTCTTCCAGGGTCTATTCCAAAGTAGGGTGCAAGCCGCCATAAGCACCCTTAGGTCAGGGTTACTAGGGTGTAGGGTTTAGGGTGTGGGGTTTAGGGTTTAGGGTTTTTGGGGCACCGTAAACCAAGGACCTTGAGTCTTAAACCCAAACACCCTGACTTAGGGTTTAGGGTTTAGGGTTTAGGGTTTAGGGTTTAGGGTTTAGGGTTTAGGGTTTAGGGCTGAACCCTGAACCCTGAACACCCTGAACCCTTCTGTTTCCTCCGGAGAGGGTTGCGAGTTGAGGTTGAGGCTGCTTTGGGATGTGGGACTCAGGCTCAAGACCTGGTACATGGACTAGCCTTTACTTATATCTTCAGGAAAGGCGCCTGGCCCCGGTAACCTGTAAATCCTACCATCCCAAACATAATACCTACAATTCTAGACGCCCCATAAGCCCTGTAGTCCTGTGAAGGTCCGTTTCTTTTTGGGCTTAGGCTTTAAGGTTCGAGGTTTGGGTTTACAAGAATTTCCTGAATCAGGGGAGTCCATGAAGGAGTGCACCCTAAACCTAAACCCTAAACCCTAAACCCTAGACCCTAGACCCTAGACCCTAAACCCTAAACCCTAAACCCTAAACCCTAAACCCTAAACCCTAAACCCTAAACCCTAAACCCAGGCCAAGAGGCAGTGGACTTCTTGCATGCCCGTCTGGCTGCGATGCCGCCCAACGAGCAGGCCCTCACACGCCCCCAAATACCCTGAACTCAGGCCCTTCGCCTCATTTAGGGTTTAGGGTTTAGGGTTTAGGGTTTAGGGTTTAGGGTGCAACCCCACACCTGAAGTCCCCCCTGAACCACCCTCAAGTCCCACACCCTCTCGTCGGGATGCTGGTTCTGAGGGCAGGAGGAGGCCATGCGTTGGGGCCCCCATTAGGGTTTAGGGTTTAGGGTTTAGGGTTTAGGGCCCCCTTCCCCTCCATTGGCAGCAACCTACAGGATAGGACAACGTACCCGCTTTTTGAGGTCCTGAAGTCCGACTGTTGGTGGGGCGGGGGGAGGGGCCTTAGGCCAAAAAGCTTTCGTCCTGTCAGCCCCACACCCTAAACCCTAAATCCTAACCCTGAACCCTAAACCCTAAACCCTAATCCCCAAATTCCCCCCCCCCCTCCTCCCATCATCCCGGAGCACTCCCCCAAGCTGAACTCCGAATCGGCCCTGGAGCCCTAAACCCCAACAAAAGCCAACAAGAACCCGCAGCTTGCTCTGAATACCCCAAACCCTAAACCCTAAACCCTAAACCCTAAACCCTAGACCCTAGACCCTAGACCCTAGACCCTAGACCCTAAACCCAAGACCTAAACCCTAGACCTAAACCCTCAGCCCTCCAAACCCGAAACAAACCCTTGAACAACCTTTCAAAAGCCCCAAAATATCCCGCAAATAAACCTTCAAAACCCAAACTGCCCCCCAAAATCAGAAGCCCCAAGAGAGCTGTGCCATTGCTGGAGGATCCCCAAAAGGCGGTGCAGGACGCTGAGGGTTGACAGATTTTGGGGGGCTGAGGGTTTTGAGTTTGAGGTGTTTTCGGTTTTTCAGGGCTGTTAGGGTAGAAGTTTATGGTTTTTAGGGTTTGGGTTTTTAGGATGTTCAGGGTTTAAGCTTAGTTTTTTGTTGATGTCGTTTTTTTTTTTTTTTTTTTTTTTGGGGGGGGGGGGGGGTTAGGGTGTTTAGGATGTTTAGTTTTTTTGTACCCAAGCGTGTGAAGGATATATATATATATATATATATATGATGGTCCCGCTTGGGTTACCCCAAATACCAGGGGCGGCCTTATTAATAGCAACAATTTGTGCTTATCATTCTTTTCATATGCATTTGGACGCCGTGAATCAGGGTGTAGGGCTTTGGGGGCCTAATGCCGCTTCGTTTAGGCATGAGCATGCGTGCAAAAACAAATACATTTAAACAGATCAAGAATAAAAACATTAAAAAAACACATGTATATATATATATATGTAGAGAGAGAGAGAATGCATTCTTCTGCACGCTGTTGGACTCTTGTTCTGAACCTTTAAGCCCCGAAGCCCTGAAACCCTGAACTACGAAGCCTTTGCGCTACGTGACATCTTATGTAGGGATCATAAGGGGAGACTACTGGTAATTATGAGTGATTAGGCTCCTGCGGCGCAAGTGAGTACTTGGTATATGCAGGCTGCCAGAAATTTCGGACCTTCCCAAAGATGCAGAAACGCCCTACGAGAATGGGTACCGGAGAGGGAGACCCGATTTTAGGGAACCTACCGTGCCAGCCTGGAAGGTTTAGGGTTTAGGGTTTAGGGTTTAGGGTTTAGGGTTTAGGGTTTAGGGTTTAGGGTTTAGGGTTTAGGGTTTAGGGTTTAGGGTTATGTAGGGCCAAACGGTTCATGCAGTCCCAATGTGCATACCAACAGCAAACGCGTCCCAGGATATTGTGCACGAAGCCATTCACGAGCGCCGCTCGCGCGACAATGCTTGCAGCCCAGAACCCGAACCGTGCAACCAACCCTCCCCCCCCCCCCCCCCCCCCCCCCCCCCCCCCCCCCTATTCGAGTTGATATGTCGTTGCCCTCGGCAGGGCACTGCCTCTGAGGGCCTAGACTAGACTTAAAGCCGCAATCCTTCAGCCCCTACACGAAACCGTTCAAGTGCAACCCTAAACCCTAAACCCGAAACCCTAAACCCGAAACCCGAAACCCTAAACCCTAAACCCTAAACCCTAAACCCTAAACCCTAAACCCTAAACCCGGAGAGGTTCTAGGGATGCAACGGTGCGTGCGCTTTGTGGCTTTGGTCTCTACCTGGAGTCTCCAATGTAGTCCCTTTCTGGGTTAGTTATAGGGGATGCTAGTATACTACCCCAAAAAGGTACTACATAGGAGCCTGAAAGGTAGATTGTTGTTGGAGTTGCGAGGTTGCCGGTGTTGCGGTTCATGCAGATTTCTGCCGACGATTTCTTCTCAGAGAAAGCTGCTGGCGCAAGTGCTCCTAGGGGGTTTAGGGTTTAGGGTTTGGGGTTTAGTGTTTAGGGTTAGGGTTTCCTGCCCGTGCGAGCACTGCAGCCAGAGTTCGGTTGCCGCTGTGGCTTCTTTTGGAATACTTTGGCGACCCTCAACCACCAACCCCACACGATCTGGAACCCCAAAGCTGTTACACCCCAAGACTCACACCAGACGGCCTCCCAAGCGCTCGACAACCGTCTGTGGCAAAGGGTGTAGGGTTTAGGGTTTAGGGTTTAGGGTTTAGGGTTGGAGGTTCAAGGTTTAGGGTTTAACAGCTACTTGCAGACAGCGCAGCCTTTCGCAGACAGGTCACTGCCCTCCTCGTGACCTTTCGCCGCGCTGTTCTGAGCAAGCGGCAGTGAGACTGCCCCCTGAGAAGCCCTAGGGTCCAAACCCCAAACCCTAAAGCCCCAAAGTCCAAACCCCAAACCCTCAACCCGATCCCGAAACCCTCAACCCTCAACCCTCAACCCTAAACCCTAAACCCTAAACCCTAAACCCTAAACCCTAAACCCTAAACCCTAAACCCTAAACCCTAAACCCTAAACCCTAAACCCTAAACCCTAAACCCTAAACCCTAAACCGATCGGGAGAAAGCTCCGGGACATCACGCTGGATGAGCGGTTGGAGCTTATCAGTCTGGGTGACGGCAGTTCCCAGAGAGCCATGGTCATCGGGAGCCCAATATCCATGCGAGTTTGGGGTTTAGGGTTCAGGGTTTGGGGTTTAGGGTTTAGGGTTTAGGGTTTAGGGTTTGGGGTTTAGGGTTTAGGGTTTAGGGTTTAGGGTCTATAGGGTTTAGGGTTTAGGGTTTAGGGGTCCGGGCTCCTGCAAAGTGTAAGGTGCGTTCCTTGACAGGCTCCCTGGCTTAGCCCTGAGTCATCTTCCCATCCCTGCGCACTTGTGCGGGCCGTGGATCTGTGATTATCACCCGACATATAACTACCCATGAACCTCCAAGTAGTGCAGCAGGGAAGCCTTGAAACGAACAGTTACCCTGAAGCCGCAGATGCGCTTGAAGCCAGAAAACTAGGTAGGCCCTTGCGAGAATCTTTTCCCTCAATGAGTTAAGAGGAACATAAATCCTTTAGCCCTATAAGGGGTGTAGGGTTTAAGGTTTGTTAGGGTTTAACAACAAGCCCTGGAAAGGCTGGAAGCGCAAATCCCTAAGATCCCTAAGATCCCTAAGATCCCTAAGTCTGTCTTAAACCATGAGACCGCAGAAAAGGCGACCCAAGTAATGGGCCCTGTTTCACTGCCGTCAGGGTGTACCCTGAACCCTACATCGTAGCTAAATCTTAGAACCCTGAAACCCTCAACCCCCTATGTAATCCCCGAAACGCCCTAAACCCTAAACCCTAAACCTAACCCCTAACCCCTAAACCCTAAACCCTAAACCCTAAACCCTAAACACTTTTGAGTCCAGCCTTGGAGACCCGAGCAACGAGCCACGCTGCTGCCTGCACTTCACCATGAGTCCCAGGGAGTCCATGTGCGGGTTTACGAAAACCAAATTTTGACGGGTTTAGGGTTTAGGGTTTAGGGTTTGGAGTTTAGGGTTTAGGGTTTAGGGTCCCCCACATCGTAGCATTCCCTTAAAAAGAAAAACCCAGTAAGGTACCCCTAAGTTCGGAAACTGCATGTGTACTATCTTGGGGGTGTTGGGTTTGGGGATTTCAGGACCCTGCCTTGAAGCCAAACCCCAACACTCACATCCACCCTCAAGGACATAGAGTTGCAGTGCTATCATGGATACCCTCAACCCTCAACCCTCAACCCTCAACCCTCAACCCTAAACCCTAAACCCTAAACACTAAACCCCAAAGCCATGCTACAAATGGACCCCCTGTGGAAGGATGAGTGGGCAGTCATGCTGGCAGGAGTAGGCTTTCGGATATAAGGCTTGGGGTTCAGGGGTTTTAGGGGCGTAGGCTTATTCGGGCTTCCCGTTAAAGGGTTCTTAAGGGAGGGTGGGTTCAACGGGAAGAATGCAACCCAAGCTCCCTAACACTCCCGCTTCTCCCTGAGACTCCCTAAGCTTCCCTAAGGTTCCCTAGATACCTACCCCTATGAACCCTCTTCCCATAACGATGATAATATTCTTTTTCAACATTGAGTGCAACGATTCATATGTTGAGAGCCCTCTTATTCAGGGGCTGGAGATGTTGACCAAACCCTACACCCCAAACCTTGTTTTGTTGTCTGGGTTTCCGGCTTTCGGGAGTTGCAGCGCGTCTGAGCTATCCCATGCCCGTTCTACCTAGTCCCCCTTTATATAACACTTCCTGAGCCCTAAACCCTAAACCCTTAACCCTAAACCCAGGTCTGCAATCATACCTGACAAACGCATCCTCCGGGTTTGGATCTCTCCTGTTGGGATGACACCCGGCTCATCGAGTAGACTATGCCGTCACAATCCAGCGAGTTGCGTGGCTGAAGCAGGGTTTAGGGTTTGGGGTTTAGGGTTGTGTTCTTGAAAACCATAGTACATTCCTTCCAGCGGGTACGAAGAAAACATGGGCTCACAAACTGGATCATCCCCCCCCCGAACGAAGTGCGGTTGCAAGCGTACCCTCATAGTCCTCAACAGCCTTAGCAACGCAGACTCTATGGAACCCCGATATGCATACCGGTGGTGGCTGTGGGCAAAACATTGCTGTGCAGCGCTGCCAAGGATGCATGACAAGGCGCAGGAAGACATGGGACGAAAACGGCGGGGGGGTGGGGGGGGTTAGGGGTTAGGGGTTAGGGTTTAGGGTTTAGGGTTTAGGGTTTAGGGTTTAGGGTGTAGGGTTTATTAGGGTTTAGGGTTTAGGGGAAGGCACTCTTTGCTTGCCGTGGTGGCGCTGCTTGGAATGAGCGTGTTAGGGTTCAGGGTGTGTGAGCTGCAAGGTTTATGGGCTTCTGTTGCTGTGCCAGCCGCCTTGTCCTACAAAGCCTCGAAGCCAGAAGCCCCTGCAATCTCCAACATCCCTCGAAGCACTGCGCCTCCGGAAAAGCCCTACCCTGAACCCTAAACCCCTAAACCCCTAAACCCTAAACCTCTAAACCCTTAAACCCTAACCCCTAAGCACCTAAACCCTAAACCCTAGACCCTAAACCCTACACCTAAACTCCAAACCCTAAACCCTTAACCCAAACCCCTTCAACAGAGCAGCTCTTGCCGAGTCGCCCAGCCATGCAGTCCGATGACCTGGACAGGGTGAAGCATGCTTCTTGTTTGCTGACGCGGACATGTCTATGGGTTCTGGGTTTAGGGTTTAGGGTTTAGGGTTTAGGGTTTAGGGTTTAGGGTTTAGGGTTTAGGCTGATAACTTTAGACTTTAGACCTTGAACTCCGCAGCAACAACGATAAGGAGACAGCAGTATTTACTATAAGGTATCCACCGTCTGGTATCGTCAGGCATCTCCCCACACGCCAAGGGGACACTGTTCGAGTATTTGCAGCCACAAGGGCATCAGCTGAATGTGCTTTTGCCCTTAGATTCGCTGCCGGTGCTGTGCGTGTGTGCGTGTTTGTTCGACCACCTTTCCCAACCATGCCCCGTCTCTGAGCCAGTGTCCCCAGCTTAGTACTTCGGTGAGTGATCATCGTGGGAAGAGCTTTGTTCCTGCGAAGTGGGCTGTCTTGCCAAGTGTCCAATTCCAACTCAAGCCGCCCGGCTTGGGGGGGCGGGCCCATGGAGGTTCGGGTGGCACACCCCTCCCAAATCCCAGGCTCGGATTGCGGGGCCCGGAGCGTTGAACTCTGCACCGGAGCCCCGATGACGCATGCGGAGGGGCAAAGAAGGCGAGAGGGACCGTTTCCGTAGGCCGGAGAGCACCCCAGGTCGACACTCACTCACTCACTCACTCTGGTATCTGAACCCGGAATCGCCAACCCCTGAACCTTAATTAAACCGAAACCCTCAGCCCCAAACCCTAAACCCTAAACCCTAAACCCTAAACCCTAAACCCTAAACCCTAAACCCTAAACCCTAAACCCTAAACCCTAAACCCTTTAAGTTCCTTGGCAGCAACCCAGGTCTTCCGGCAGTTCGACCTGAACGGTGACGGCGCATCATGGCTCAGGAAGGAGGCGAAGGTCTTGTTCCAGCCCCTAAAGTTGAGCGGGTTGCTGTTTTAGGGTTTAGGGTTTAGGGTTTAGGGTTAGGGTTTAGGGTTTAGGGTTTAGGGTTTAGGGTTTAGGGTTTAGGGTTTAGGGTTTAGGGTTTAGGGTTTAGGGTTTAGGGTTTAGGGTTTAGGGTTTAGGGTTCGGGGGTCCCCTGGGCTGTAGACTTGTTGCTGTGGAAGCCCTGATCCCGAACTCTAAGCTCTTGTGGATATCTTCTCCGAACCGCAGTTGCCTACTAACGGTTTAGGGTTTAGGGTTTAGGGTTTAGGGTTTAGGGTTTAGGGTTTAGGGTTTAGGGTTTAGGGTATGGCGTATTCCCACATATTCAGCGACTGGGACAACTTAGAGTGGTCGTGCTTCTTGCAGCAACACAGACTGCTCCTGTGACCTGAAACCTTAAGCCCTGGCGGGTCAGTCCAAGCTTCCCAGCATGTGAGATTTTTGGTGTTTTCGGAAACCTCTAAAGTTTAAAGCCAGGGAACCCCCCTAGACCTAGATCCCCGAAGCCCATGAGAACCCCCTAAACTAAGCAACCCGAAACCACCCTAAACCCCCATATAAACCTCCCCCCCCCCCCCCCCCCCCCAAACCCAACCCTAAACCCTAAACTCAAGGCTTATGCCGCCCCTCTAGTTGGGGGGCTGTGGGCCCTGTGACGCCCCTCTGTCATGGACCATCCTTAAAACCCCCTCCCTATGAAGCCCGAAAAGGAATGGGTTACAGTGGCGGACGGTGTGGGGTGGGATGAAAGTGTGAGTTGGCCCTCCACAATTCGGGCCGTGGCTGCTCTTCGCTTCGAAGCTATAGGCTGCAACCAAACCTTCCGCTTCCGTGCAGTATTCCAGCAAACCCGAAACTAAACCCGAAACCCTAAACCCTAAATCCCAAACCCCTGAAGCCCCCTCTGAACCAAGCGCGGGCCACCTCAGGTCATCGACCAGGCTGAGCTAACGCAAGCACTGCACACACTGGATCCCGAATCCTGGACAGCTGCTCGGAGCAACAATTGGAACTAGTAGAGGCCAAAAACTTGGAAACTTAATAGCCTCAATCCCGAAGAGTAAAGTATAGTGAATCCCAGCACTATTTGTCCTTAAAATGCTTTCCAACTTTTTGGGTTTACTGTAAGGGTTCATACGGGAGGGGGTTTCATGGGGGGTATGTAACCCAAGGTTCCCTAAAACTCCCCACTGCTCCCTAAGGCTCCTAAGCTTCCCATAGGTTCCCTAGGTACCTACCCCCTTGAACCCCCTCCCCTAAGAACCCTATAAAACAAGCTGAGGCTCTGAAAGACCCTGCGCTGTTGCCTAAACCCTAAACTTTTCTACACCATAAACCATCCCCACACCCTACACCAACACTAAACCCTAGACCGTTAGACCGTAAACCAACGCTAACCCCCAAGCCCCAAACCCCAAACCCTAAACGAACCCTAAGCCCTGAACCCTAGACCTTAAACTCTGACATGAGCTCCCACACCCAGCGCGAACGCCCCAAGCGTCTGATGGATGAGAGCCTTCCAGAAGCCCTGGACCCACCCTAAAGTTCAGGTTTCAGGGTTCAGGGTTGAGGGCTTAGGGTCCTGCACACGCCCCGCCCCCAGCAAAACCTTCGACAGAGATTCCATCGCAAACGATTCTCAACTGGCTCCTCAACATGGCGTTTCACATGATGATGCTCAAGCGTCGGATTTCGGAGCACTGAACCCAACACCCTAAGCCAGAAAAACAAGCTGGACTTCGAACTAAGCGTTTAGGGGTCAGGGTGCGCGACAGGATGCCTCAGTCGCATCCCTGCTCTCCACCATCGACAAGGCCGGCACTGGACGCATCCAGCAGCTTGGCTTCAGGGTTCAGGGTTCAGGGTTCAGGGTTCAGGGTTTAGGGTTTAGGGTTTAGGGTTTAGGGTTTAGGGTTTAGGGTTTAGGGTTTAGGGTTTAGGGTTTAGGGTCTAATAGGGTTTAGGGTTTAGGGTCTAATAGGGTTTAGGGTTTAGGGTGTATAGGGTTTAGGGTTTGTAGGTTTCGGGTTGAGGTTTTGATCTCCATGGGCATGGACTGGACAGTTACGGGTGGTTTGGGGGGGTTTAGGGTTTAGGGTTTTAGGGGGGTTTTGGGGCTTTAGGGTGCAGGGTTTGGGGGCCTATGAGGTCCCAATGTTTAGGGTTCAGGGCTTCAGGCTTAGGGTTTTTTGGAGCGTGAGGTCCGCAAGTTTAGGGTACTTCAGGTGTGTAGCCTAAACACCTGCGCTCGCATGCGCATGCTCACAACGTTTCGGAGAACCCAAACCCTAAACCTAAACCCCAAAGCGAAATGCAAACCCTAATACCCCTCTTCAACCGCAGGCCAAGTCCCTCCGCGCCCTTCCACGCGCAGAGTTCTACGCTGTGAATCCTCGGTTGTCAGGCTAAGCCCCGAACCCGGCTAAGGTACGACGACTTCGTGGATTGGCTGGGTGGAGATGAAGGTGCTCCATGTTTCGAACCCTAACCATCCCCCATCCGAAGCTCTAAACCCTTCCCCAGGGGGCCCCGCCAGGGTCAGGTTTCAGGGTTTTCGGTTTAGTTTAGGTAACCCTAAACCCTGAACCTTAATCCCTAAACCCTATAAACCCTAAACCCTAAAGAACGCGGGCTCCTTTGGTTTAAGGTTCCTGAACCTTAAACCCTAAACCCTAAACCGAAAAATCCTAAAAAACGCGGGCTCCTTGGTTTAAGGTTCCTGGGACCTGGGAGGGGAAAGGGAGACGGCTCCCTCCTCAGCATCCAACATGCGTCGGCGGACAACGGGACATATGGAATAGTACTTTTGATTGCAGTAGCTTCCCTGAGTTTAGGGTTTAGGGTTTAGGGTTTAGGGTTTAGGGTTTAGGGTTTAGGGTTTAGGGTTTAGGGTTTAGGGTTTAGGGTTTATCACGAGAACTGCTTCACGAGGTTATAATTTTTAGTTAGCGGGCATTTTTTTGGCTGAAATGCTCGTCCTATAGACCGGCCCTTGATTTCAAATCACACAAATCAGAGCACAAGTCCAATACATGACTCAATGGAGAAGTCTGCCGCTGCGTTTGGGGGAGTCTCCTTCCCGAGCACCGAAGCTCAATTTTCCCATCCGTTGTTCTAATAAATGCCCTTCATTCTCTTTCAATAGCCCACGGCCATTCAAAAACCAAAACGAAATCACGGTACAGTCTTACTTAAGGATATAGCTGGCCCAATTGTGTGATTCAAATGATTTAGATTATCTACATGTGTTGCTTGGAGGGGGCCAGTGGCCATTTTGCCTCAAGCAAATTTCAGACGGCTCAAACGGTCCGACCTTCCGTGCGTTCCAGTTGCGCCCACGTCGCCGACAGCCTCGCGATCTCGCCGTTGTAGCCCCCGCCCCAGCCCCTGAGCCAGCCAGGCCTGACATTTTCGCTGACCGTGAAGAGCTGGAAGACTCAGCCAGGCAGGCTGCCATGAATCTTCTTGCCAGGGCAGCAGCACACCCACCACAACCTGCAGAGCCATTCTGTGCCCTTGCACCAGAGGAAGTGGCAGGTGTGGAATATGAGCAGCTTACGAATGAAGAGAAGACTCTTGTGTCTTTGCTGCCTGAGCTGACCACAAGGGGAGCTCGGGGCCTGACAGGCAAGCCCACATTCATTTACAAGGGTGGCAGGAGCCCTCAAGACAAACAAGTTCGCATGAGCAAAGGCTACAGCTCCCGAGCAATATAATAATAATAATACCTATAATAATTATGATAGTTATAACCCTAAACCCTGGACCCTAAACCCTAAACCCCCGGCATGGCCAGAGCTATCTGGCAATGGGCTGGTGTGGACTGGACTCACAGGCTAAAACACAGTGACCCCTAGTTGTCAACATGGTGTACAGGACTTTTGCTAGGCAGCACTGGGAGTGTAGCACTCTGGCCAATGACAGCCAGCCCGTCTTGAAGTCTTGAAAAGATGGAAGAAGTGTGCAGTGCAGTGCAGTCCAGCATGCATGGGAGAAATGCAGTCCAGCACAATTATGTTTGGCTTGGCGATGATGGTGGCGCAGGAGCTGAAACTGGGGAGGGAGGCCTGGGGTGGCTGGGACATGGGGACGGGGGGGGGGGAGGGAAGGGCTGGTCGGGTTTGTGGGGTGCAGGGATTTGAGTGAAGGAGGACAGGGAGAGCGCCAACCAGGATAGCCACATGTTGGAGCAGGAAGGCAAACATGGGTGGGGGGGTAGGGTATGGGGTTTGAGTAGGGGTACAGAAGTCGCGACGAAGTGGGCGCAAATTGTACAAGAACCTCAACTGCTTGGGACATGGGAGGGAGTATGGGGGGGGGGGGGGGGGGGGGGGGGGGGGGGGGGGGGGGGGGGGGGGGGGGGGGGGGGGGGGGGGTGGGGCATGGATGGGGGGGGGGGGGGGTGTTGGCCGGGGGCGGGGTGGAGTTGGAGCAGGCAAGAAGAACTTTCGGGGGTGACTGGGGCGGGGTGGGGGGGTGGGTTGGGGAGGCTGGGATGGGGAGGGGGGCTGCCCCGACTGAGCCGTGCGAGAGCGGAAAAAGCCCTTCACTGGCGCTCGCCCCCAGCTTGCCTGGGTCGGCGGATTATGTATCTGTATGTGTATGTGTATATATATACATATATTTTTTTTATAAGTACCCATGAACCTCCAAGTAGGGGTTCAAGGTCCCTGCGGCTCTCTGGCTCTCAGGGCCATCTTCTTCCCCAGGCTGTTTTTTTAAGGGCACCCCGAACTAGCGAACCCTAAACCCCAAACCCCAAACTCCAAATCCCAAACCCTAAACTAGACCCAAAACCCTAAACCCTAAACCATAAACCCTAAACCCTCCCTTTCTGCACCAGTACTCTTTGGGCATCTGCTCTGCATGCAGGCAGCGAGCCTTTCAACACCACCGTCGTGGAGAATTTCCGCTCAGCGTGCTGGGGCAGAGAGCTTTAGGGTTCAGGGGTTTAGTGTTTAGGGTTTAGGGGTTTGGGGCCAAGAGCGGGTTGATTCCCACTTGCTGCTCTGCGCTGCTTCTGGCATCTTTCAACTGGGTATCTGTTACAAGCCTTGGACGGGTCTTTACAGCGTACTAGGTTGCGGGCCGCTGTGTAAACCCTAGATTCTGGGTGTGGAGTCTGTGGAGTTCCGCGTTTGGCTTAGACGAGAAAACTACACCTAAAGCCCCCTAAGCCACTCGAGGGTTTCCGAAAATGAGGGACCCGTAGTAGAGACCCTAACCAGTTTAGGATACCCTTATTACTAAGGAAACCAATAAGGTACCCCTAATTTGGGAAACCCCATTTCCCAGCCGACTTGACAGCCCACGTTGCGTGAGTCTTGTGCAGAGTGCGCAAAGCTTTGTGCCATCAGCGGCTCTTATCCCTGAATCCCTGAAAGCCCCAACATGCCTAAACCCTGAAAGCGCTAAAACCTTAAACCCTAAACCCCATCAATGCCCTCGAAGCCCGAAAAGGTTTAGGGTCTGTGGTGTAGGGTTTATAGGGTTTTGGGTTTAGGGTGTAGGGTTTCCTCGATATCAGCCCTCGAAGCCCGAAAAGGTTTAGGGCCTGGAGTGTAGGGTTTATGGGGTTTTGAGTTTAGGGTGTAGGGTTTCCTCGATATCAGTTTTGTAGCCGAAGCCGTTTGGCGAAAGGAGCCCTTGAACCCGAACCCCCTGAAACTCTCCAGCTCTGAGCCCGCAAACCTCAAACCCTAAACCCCAAACCCCAAACCCCAAACCCTACACCCTAAACCCTAAAAACCCTAACAGGTACCGGCGCATGTCCATAAGTTCGGAGGAGGACGAGGACCGCCAAGCTGGCGACGCCTCGCAGAGCTTAGGCTGGACCTTTCGAGGTTTCGGGGGGGGCTTAGGGTTTAGGGTTTAGGGTTTAGGGTTCGGGATTTTAGGGTTTAGGGTTTAAGGGTTGAAGGGTTGAAGGGTTAGGGTTTAGGTTTAGGGATGTCGGGGTCTAAGTGGCCCCCTAAAGTCCCTAAAGGCTGTAAAACCCAAACCCTAGGACTAGGACTTCGAGGTTCAAGCTTTGGTTGCTTGAGGGCCTAGCCTAAGCCCTATGGGGTTTCAACGGCACAGTTGGTCTCTGTGAAACCCTATGTTCTTTCTAGAGTAGCCTTGAGCCTTAAAGGAAGCCAAGAAGACCAATGACTAAGGCACACCGCCCATGTTTAAGGACATGAAAAAGGTCGCTCTAGGGAAGCACTAAGACGTGGCTTTAGGCTCGCGGTTCATGATTGCCCAGTGTGCTGAGTCCTTCTGAGAAAGCCACTGGTGACGGTCGAGGTTCTGATGATTCTGATGCCAAGCATGTTTCAGGATTTCGGGCTAGGACCCTAAACCTTACACCCCTAAGGCAAGAAGCGCGCTTAGTCATCAGCTGTCTGGAGAATTGCTGACGAGGCCAGCCAGAGAAGGCAGAAGTCGAGGCGGAGAAGCCCAAGAAGAAGCCATCAAAGCGTGGCAAAGCGGGTGACGGTGCCTCGGCTGTCCCTGGGAAGTGTAATCGCCTCCCCCGAATAGCCCCCACCCCCCGCCCCCGCCCCTACCCCATAATTGTTAAGTACTCCCCGAAAGATGGAATATGTCTATAATGGAAGTATTTACTTACCATGAGGGCGTAGGGGGGGTGTTCATACTAGGCGGCGAGGATGAGTGCCTAGATTATGAGATTTTGACGAGCGGGCTGAACCCTGAGCTGGTGTTACATATTATGGCGGGTCGGAATAGGTACGACTGGTATTCCATTTGGTATTCCATTTTGGCCCCTACAGAATTATACAGCAGGAACCACCCACAACTCCATTCTAATTGTGAAGCCCCCCTTATTAAAACCTTTGGGGTGGTTAGGGCGTGAGCTCGAAGGTTGAGGGGTTGAGGGCTTGGTGCAGGGCTGGTGGGCTTACAGCTGCCTAAACTCCTAAACCTCTAAACCCTTAAACCCCTAAACCCCCAAGATCCCAACCTCTTACACCCATCCTAAACTGCAACCCGTAGGCCCATTGAAACCCAGACCCCAATCCCCACCCAGAGCTCACGTGCTTACGACATGGTCAGTTCTCTCAAGGATGGTCCTCTAGGGTTTAGGGTTTAGGGGTTTAGGGGTTTAGGGGTTTAGGGGTTTAGGGGTTTAGGGGTTTAGGGGTTTAGGGGTTTAGGGGTTTAGGGGTTTAGGGGTTTAGGGTTTAGGGTTTAGGGTTTAGGGAATTTTGGGTTTAGGGTTTGGGGTTTGAGGTCCTGATTATAAGGCGGCCACTAATATTTTAGCGTACCCAAAAAGGGATGATGGTTTTGAGAACTGACCATGTGCTTCTTTGTCTACTGGTTTCCGCCCGACGCCCAGGCGCCGGGGTCAAGTGCGACAAAACGCTCGAGTTTGGCAAGCCAATTCGCAACGTTTCTTGTCTGGAACAACGAGTTAAAGTTATAGCCACCGGGATCCTGAACCCTTAACCCTATAAACCCGAACTGTACCATGAACCTCCAAGTAGGGCTGTTATTCCTGGTTTGGCCAGTGGATAGAGTTCCTGAGGAATATTGCAGATGTATGGGTCGTAGATACGTAAATAGATGAGTAAATATGATTCAACCAGTACAAGTAGGTGCATACACATAAATGCGTTAATTAATTTGCTCATACATACTTGTTACCTCCGCACGCAATCTAATCTAAGCCCTACGGTGCCGAGTTTCTGGCATCTGGTTTCCAGCTGTTTGTGTCCTGTACAATCGTGCTTTACGTGAGAGGCTTAAGAGCAAATGGCTTGCTTTTGTGCGAGCGCATCTTCTTCAGAGCTTGCACGGAGGGTCGAGCACTCAAACAGAAGGTACGTAGAGGCTCGTAGAGGTGCCGAAGATTTTGGCGGTCACGGTTTTTGCGGCCTCCCCAAGTCAACAGCAATTGGCTTAGCGGTTGCTGTCGGATTGGGGCCGGCGGGGGGCGTTCATGGATGTTCATGGGTAGTGCTAAGCCGGGTTCTAAGACCACCAAGCAGGGTAATAGCCCTTGTTTGCTATACCGGCTCATATCCCCGGTGAGAACTACCCTTGAAACTCTAAAGCCTTAACCCTGCACCCCAACCCCTAAACCCTAAACCGCATACCCTAAACCTCCAAGCAAGGCCATCTGCATTGGCACTGAAGTTTGGACCGTGGACTGGCATGGGGTTACGACGGTCCGTGACCGACGCCCAGCAGCTCATGATGTTTAGGGTTTAGGGTTTCGGGTGTCGGGTTTAGAGTTTAGGGTTTAGGGTGACCCTAGTGACCGACGCCCAGCAGCCCATGATGTAAGCTCTGGGGGCTTCGGGGTTTAGGGTTTGCAGGGTTTATAGGGTTTAGGGTTTAAGGCTTCAGGGTTTAAGGGTTTCGAGTTTTGGAGTTTATACGGTTCAGGGCCCCCGAAGCCCCAAACCCCAAACCCAAAACCCAAAACCCTAAACCCTAAACCCCAACCCCTAAACCCCAAACCCTAAACCCCCAACCCTAAACCCTAAACCCTAAACCCCAAACACTAAACCCTAAACCCTAATCCTCAGACGGTACCTCTGTGAGCGTGTGCTGCCCGGAAGCCCAGGAGACGATGCCGCCAAGGTGCCTTTGGCATGGTTTAGGGATTAGGGTTTAGGGTTTAGGGTTTAGGGTTTAGGGTTTAGGGTGTGAACAAGCGTAAACGATACTTTAGTTTTAAGCCACCTGCATGGCGAGGTCCTTGGCGAGATCCCTACCGACAGGCCAGGGAAGGGTTCGTGTCTGAATGACTCATTGGCTTCCGGTTTAGGGTTGAGGAAGTTTAGGGTTTAGGAAGTTTAGGGTTTCGTGGGTTTAAGCGACTATTCGCTGAAGAACCCCCCCCCCCCATGGAACCTACTAATCCCCATATTGTCATTAAAAGAGAGTGTTTTTCGGGGGGGGGGGGGGGGGGTGGGGGGGTGGGGGGGGGGGGGGGGGGGTGGGGGGGGGGGGGGGGAGTTCTTAAGCAATAGTATAGTTTGAAGGATGTGTTGTGGCAGTTCCTGTTTCCTGACATCATTGTAGGGCACTGTAGGGCTCTTCTTGTCTGTGCTGCGCGCCGTGCAGCAGCTGCTGCTGCTGATGACGATGACGACGACGACGACGATGGTCGTCGTCATCATTATCGTCATCATCAGCAGCAGCAGCAGAAGCAGCAGCAAGGGTGTCATTTCGACAGCATTGCCGCAACTCACCACTTGCTCCCACTCACTCACTCACTCACTCACTCACTCGCAATTGCACACCGAAGCTTATACCATACCACAACAACGCGTCACACGAACCATGGCGCTTGGGAATTTCAGGGTTTGGGCGAAGGAGCTCCATCTGCAGACAGGTGATTCCTTCAATGACTCTGGTCATTCCTGGGGGGTCTACTTGTAGTACTGCACCATTCTGGAGCTAGAAACCCGGAAACCGCAACAAAGAGGGTGTTGGGGCGCTGGCTTCCATACGGACCCGCTGGGATATGGTTCTCGGATGACGCTGCAGTCGTCGAAGAAGACAAGATGTGAATCCATGGGTTTGGCTGGACCGGCAGGCCATATTGCAAGTCAGGTGTCCCATCTTCGTTCTGGCGCGGTTGAGAATGAAAGAGGTTCAAGTTGTGTGAACACTCTCCCTCTTGCATGACTCCAGAAACGGTGCACGAAATTGGATCAGCTGAACAATGCTGCGGCAAGGCGTTTGTACCACAAAACGGCCGGGATGTAACGTTGCAGGAGTCTTATGTTGTTTGAAAGCTCAGTGAGAGAGAGAGAGTGAGAGAGAGAGAGAGAACAAAAGAATGAAAAAAGCAACTCTCTGGGCAAAGAGATGGGGCCCCCTGCGTTGTCTCCGCCTTATGCGTTACCCAAAACCCTAAACCCTAAACCCTAAACCCTAAAACCCTGCTTAAAAGCGCAATGGAGCGCAGCGGTTGGCAGTTCGAGGATGCTTGGGATCGTGCAAGCCCTGAGTCTCAGGGTTTTGGGGTTTGGGGTTCAGGGTTCAGGGTTCAGGGTTTAGGGTTTAGGGTTTAGGGTTTAGGGTTCAGGGTTTAGGGTTTAGGGTTCAGGGTTTAGGGGCTTAGGGTTTAGGGGCTTAGGGTTTAGGGGTTTGGAGTTCAGGGCCGTGCCCGGGCAGGTTTGTCTGGTCCATGCTGCACATGAAGCCGGGCTTGATGCCTTCCGGCAGCAGCGAGACTTTTAGGGTTTAGGGTTTAGGGTTTAGGGTTTAGGGTTTAGGGTTTAGGGTTTAGGGTTTAGGGTTGAGGGTCTGAGTGTTCAGGGTTTAGGGTTTAGGGTCTGAGTGTTCAGGGATTAGGGTCGAGTGCTTGAGTGTTTAGGGTTAGGGGTTTTTTTGAGTTTCGAAGGGTTGATCCAGGTTCTGCCGAGCATGATTTGCTTTGTCATGCGGAAGGTGTTGAGCAGCTCCTTGACAAATGCACTTGTTTTCGCTTCTTGCTTTCGAGAACCTCAAACGCATCAGTTTGCATGTTGCTTTCTTATCAAGAAAGGGCTTTTGCTAAGCAACAAGTTTTTTGCGGCAGAAGCTCTTGGCCACGGATCCCTAAACCCTGAACTCCTTGTTGGTTACTAGGGAATGAGGGAATGAGGTAACCTATATCCCCCTACATATACCGTTTAAGGGATTATATAGGGTACCTCATGCCCGCATTCCCGGCTAACTTACAGTAATAAACCCTGGACCTGAACCCTAAGCCCCTGACACCCTTAGCGCTTAGAGTTAATAATTAAAGTGAACGTTAAACTGTAGACTGTCAACTTTCAATCTCTAACTTTAAAGAGTTGAGCTCTAAGCTTTAAAAAAGGAGCTTAAAGACTTAACCTTTGCCTTTAAGCGCTTTACTTTAGACTCTAAGCTCTTAACATTTTGCTTTAAGTTATCCGCTTAAGTCTTTAAGCTTTACGCTTACTTTGAAGTTGGAATACTGAGCTTTAAGCTCGAAGTTAAGGTTAAAAGTTAAAGTCCAAGCTTTACGTTAAGAGCTTTACATAACATGCGTCTTCGAACCCCTCAATCCCAAAACCCTCAAGCGCCCCCACGAAGCCGAGACTGGGACCCTGCGAGTCCCTAAACCCTAAACCCTAAACCCTAAACCCTAAACCCTAAACCCTAAACCCTAAACCCTAAACCCTGTGAGTCCGAGGTGGATGGGGCAGGAAGCACAGGGGATCTCCCTCTTCGACTCGAAAAGGCCCTCCGACGAAAGCTTCTTCGGGTGTAGGGGCCCCCGAACCCCTGAGGGTTTGGGGTTTAGGGTTTGGGGTTTAGGGTTTGGGGTTTAGGGTTTAGGGTTTGGGGTTTAGGGGTTTAGGGTTGGGGTTTAGGGTTTAGGGTTTGGGGTTTAGGTTTAGGGTTCAGGGTTTGGGGTTTAGGGTTGAGGGTTTAGGGAGTACCCCGCAATCAGGGCCTAAAATGTAGCTTTGTTGCGCATCTTACAGGGTACTTTGGGGGGCGGCGGGGGGGGGCAGGGGGCTGCCGTTACATTTTGATTGGGGTTTAGGGTTGAGGGATTAGGTTGAAGTATTTGGAAGTCTGGGTGCTGGGTGACGGGAGGACGGGACGCGGACTGGCGTGCAGTATGTACAAGTTTCATATGTGCATACATGCAGTCCTGCAAATATGCCACTATATGTATTCAATCGTGCAATCATACGATTATGCAATGTATGCGTGTACATGCATATATATATATATATATATATATATATATACATACATGTACACATGGACACACAAAACACTTTGCATGCCCAAGATCTTGTGTGTGTGTGTGTGTCTCTCTCTCTGTACATATACCCATATGTATACCGCAGGAAGTGGAACATTCTCTGCGCAGGTATGGCAGGTGCCTTGTACTCAAAGCTCAACCATAAGTCCAACCATGCCCCGAGGTCCCAAGCCCCATTTAGGGTCTAGGGTCTAGGGTCTAGGGTTTAGGGTTTAGGGTTAGGGTTTAGGGTTTAGGGTTACCAATCCAACCCCCTGAACCTACACCCTAAAACCTAAACCCTAAACCCCTTCAACCCCCCCCCCCCCCCTCAAAGCCTCGAAATGCAGGAAAGAGCCCAAGGGCTCCTTGACAGGGGGTCATACCGGAGGCGCGCCGAAAAGTGAGGGTTTCTGGGTTTCTGGTTTGAGGGTTTCAGGGTTTGAGGTTTTCGGGGTGTGAGGGTTTTGGGTTTGAGAGTTTGAGGGTTTTGGGGTTTTCGGCCTTTAGGGTTCTTTTTCCTTCGGGCGTGGACGTCTGGGAGCGCTGTTGCGTGATCCTTTCGTAGCCTAGCCTAACAGTGTTACGCTACTTCGACTGTCAGAGAAGGCTACCCTGATCCCTAAACCATAAACCCTCCCTAAACCCTAAACCCTAAACCCTAAAC